AGCCGTCCTCGTTTGAGTCGTAGGCTAAGAATAGCGAGAGCCCATCGCTCCCCAGGGCTAACATTCCCGCCTCCCTCCTCTCCCACCGCCGGTAGTCCAGGTACATCGCCACCCCGCGGCGGCCAGCAGCACCACGACAGGCACGCACACCCAGAAACAACACGAGCGTAGTTTACTGGGACCGCGTCCCGTATCGGTCGCGGCGTCACCCCCGCCACCGTCCCTCTTGTCAGGCGGCTCCCTGGTCCCTTTCGACGCCATTGCACTACTCCTTACTCTTAATAGCACATGAAGAAGTCGTATGAAGTTCGGCTGAAGTTCGATGGATTGGGATACAATGTGAAACTACGGTGAAAAACAACACAAAGTTATCCCTCGGCCCAAAGCCAGTATGGATCGGACACCTCAGACGCACTGGGACATCCAAACGTCCACAGTGCCACCCGGAAATGGCAAAAACCTCTGCCAGACTGTACCATTATAAAATTAGGGTGAATCATTTCTATTTATTTTTTTTTAAATAATAAACAATTAAGTTGCACTAAGTATACTTTCCTTAAGTTACACTCAAAAACTGTGTTTATGTATGTTTTTTTTCTTTATAGGCCAGAAATATCTTTTGTTTATAAGTTTTAGGAAAATATATTTACAAACATTCTCCTATAATCACGTAGAATATTCCATTCTGCTATTGGTCGGATTTGCACCAATCAGAAATCCGTATTTTCTGCAGGCGGGGTGAGAGGTCAGGGTATGGGTAATCATCATCCACAGCATCCTCATCATCATCTCCTCCTGCTGGTCACATGGTTCAGCTCAGCTCCGCATGCCTGGAGGAGCTTTTCTCTCCAAACAAGAGGTGTTCACCGGATGTGAGGCAGGCAGACAGACACACACAGTGCTAGCACCATCTTAGAGCAAAGCAAGCTGCAAAGATGAGCGTGCGTGGTCTGTGGGTGATTTCACCAGGGACTGGAGAAAACAACCCTGCAAGCATCCTCTTCTCCAGGTGAGATGGTAGCTTAGTACTGGGCAGCAGACTGTCTGGGTGTGGGATGAACAGGTTTTATTGTTCTTGTGCATCGTGATGTACATAATAAATGCACCGTTTTAGAACCACTTTGTTTCCCATGGTCTCCACGCATGCCAAACGATTCAAGGTTTGTTCTGTCATATGTTAGACTGTGCATGACAGATGCAGGTGCACCCCTGCTTTTAGCCTCTAATGTTGTGTCAGCTTTAGCTTTAACCCACTTCTGGCTCTGACTCGCAGCCAAGTAGGCTTCTCTCGGGTGTCAAAGCTAATACATGTATGATGTAACGTTAGAGTAATAAGCATGTCAGGAGCTCCAGGATCCATTTCTCTGACCCGTTAGTTATTGTTTAAACAGCTCTATGCTATGCACATTATGTGACCAAAGGACAGTTAAGAAAAATTTGTTTTGCATTCAGTGATCTGATGAAGTCTGTGTTACTGTAAGCACAGGACAAGTTCGTCTTAGACCAGTTGTAGTTCCATTGGATTGTCACATCACCCTGCAATGGCCAGGCCTCATACTAAGCAGTAGAGAGAAAGGATTACCTTGGAAAAGTCAGCTGCAAGGGATACATAGCCTGTGTTACACAATCTCTTGCTGTCGGAGGATGATTGGATCTCCTTTCTAGGTGTCTGACCAGTAGAATGGCTATTACTAGTAGACCTGTGATGTAGTGAGGCAGCTTTCATTTAAAAATCGGGGAGAAAAAAGGGAAATGTCTTGCATTGGTACATGGATGGCAAGATGTGCCTGACTTAGTTTGTTTTGCATAATCAGTAAACCGCATATTACCCCAGTTTTGTACAGTCCTAGTATTTACAAGCTACATGTAATCTGGACTTTAAAGGTTTGATCCGCTCACACCGGGAAGGACCCCTACTCTTTTTTTAGAGTAAGTGTGGTGGGTCCTTTTTCGAGGTGACTCTCCTCAAACATATTCTAACTCCAAGGTACAGGCAGCAAAAGTGGAGGTTTTGTAATTAAGAGTCTATCATGATCATAATGATATGTGAATGTGATACTTGCTGCTTGGATCCCCGCCCAAAAATGAAGACTGTTTCCTTCCTACTTATTGGATTTTACAACATGAACTGTTGCAAAGGCCTCCCAGATGTGGCTTTCTTCGACAGAAGGCTTCATTAATTACACATAATTCACTTCCTTCCTATATGAGCTGAGATATATGTGAGCTTTCGAATCATTGCTGTCCCTGCTCTTTTATGACTAATCAAAGAATTTTGGCAGTAAATATGGCATACAGTTGGTTGTTCAATGAAGAAGTTGGTGGCTACATATCGGGGGCCAACTGGATATGGCTTGGGCAATTTGATAGTCTCACTGGACAATTACAGATACACCAGTAAGTAAGGGATAAATATTTCTATTAGGTTATTATTAAATACAAGTCATCCTCAAATCCAGATGCACTGGTCAATGGGGCTGATGAGAGATTTCCTATTTCTTCATGTACCTTCTTTGGCACATGATGACTGGATTTATGACAACAGAAAAATTGACGCAAAGAGTCCTGGTTTAATGTTGATCATATTGCAAATGGCTTTCCAGCCCCCCCCCCCATCTTTTATAAGAACCATTTGAGTCACAGTCACATTCATTGTAGTAGTTACACAATTACAATGCCTTCAAATTTTCAAGCTGGCTGTGAAAAAAACCTGCTGACATGGATTTAGGACAGCAGGAAGGCAGCTGAATTTTGTAGCACACAATGTACTACTATCCTAAGAATGAATCATTTTGAATTGAAATAAGAAATGAAGAAACGAGTTAAATTGGCGTAGCCTTAGCTTCAAATGACTTACCAGCCTGATGAGGTAACTGGTCTTACCGTAACTCGGTGTAACTTTCCTCTCGTAGCCACTACCCAACGGTGGAACGCCGGGCAGCTATCCGGACTGGGGGAGCCCGAGGAGGGAATACTGTACAGATCCTAGATGATGTGGCATTCTGTAATGCACTTGTGGAAGAACTGGGACTTAACAGGACCAGCAATAAGGTAGGGCTGTTAACACAGATGGTGTTCCGCTTTTATTTTGTTGAGTCTATTAAAAAAAGAATTGTTATATTGTATCAGGTATAATACAGCATGTCTAACCCTCAGTTACGGGGAACAACAGACGATAAACTGGATAGAAAGAGAGAGATGTTTTAAAAAATTTCAAAATCTGAAGAAGAAAAGTAGTACATGTACAAGGCGAGGTACTGAGGTAGCCTTGATGAGCCCTGCTTGATGCTGACACCAGACTCTCCGTACCTGCAGTTTGTCTCCTGGCGCGACACGTGTCAGAAGCTATCCCAGGAGCCTGTGCATGAGCTGCGCCTGGCTGACGGGACAACCCTCTGGCCTGTCCTCATCATCGAACAGGTAAGGGACCAGCAAGAATGAAGGAAGGAAGGAAGGAAGATATAAGGAAATAAGTGAAGTAAATGATTATAAGAAGCACTTGATCAGATTGGTTGGTTGAAAGAATGAATAGATAATTGATGATACACATGTATGACTTTCATTTATTAATACATTGGTAGGTAGAATAAAAATGAACCCACTAGCTTTCCCATGGTAACAATCCCTGGTAAGTCAGGTAGCCTGGTGGCTGCTTGTCAACTGAACCAGAGGAGTGAAAATTAAGAACATTGTGATATTACCTCAACCAATATCATGTACTATACCAAACAGCTGCAAGGAAAGTATTCACATTCACATCAGCCATAATGGAAGCTAATCATGTCTATTTAAGGCTGGCCCGGATCCATACCAACAATGTATAATAGACATGCACGAACTTAAGACCAACATAAGAGTTGAGGTATCTCATTAGAACCAATCTAATAATGGACTACTCTGAGCCGAGAGGAAGCGCAGTATTTCCAATTATTTTGCATGACTAGGCAGATACACAAGATGGGAACCCAAGAAATGGGAGCCCTTTTTGTAAATGGATAAAAGTCATTTAATAGCAAAAGAATGAAGTAAAGAAGATAAAGGGTAGATTTCTCTGTGTGCTTCACCAATATGTGAGGCTTGCAGCAGATGTTGTCTGGCAGCCATTATTCCTTGTCTGGAAATAGTCTGGAATAACACAAACAAGTACAACCCTGTCCATGATTAATACCAAAGCACAGAACATGTGCATGTAGTCTGATGGCCCAGAATGGCTGAAATTATGTAAAATTGTCACTCTGAAAAATTATCCACATTATGTCCTTTTGTAGCAAATTGACAGCATTAGAATTAGAAATGATTTGAACTGTTCACATACAGTATGTTCCCAAGCTATTGCCAAATATCATATTTGCTGCATTGTGAATTAAGAGCACGGTTGTGTTCCCTCCAAACAAAAATTCTCTTTCAAGTGATTCTCTTGTAACAAAAAAAGACTTTTATCCTACAAATGACACAATAAAACAGCCAAATTATTTTTTTCATGTACATCTGCACCACACAGAGAAGAGTACCAGCTTCCACTACAAATGTATTCAACCTTTATAACCCTGCTGACAGATATGGCAAACTTCATCCCCTTACCCATAGTGCAATGCATCCCTTCTAGTCAGATAATAAGAATAGCAGCTATGATAATACTGCATTGTGTATGTTGGGATTTCAGTGTATGAAATATAACGTTACATGTACATAGACACACATACAAACACACATACACAGGTACACATACATGTGCACACACGTGCAGATACATACACACACTCAAACACTGACACACATGGACTGACAGATATACAAGTCAAGAACCATACTTCTCTCCTTTGAGTTAGGATAATAAAAAAACATGCCTTGTTTACATGAGGAAATCTTGATGTTGTTTTCCCTGTGCAGCATGGCCTGCTGTTCTGCTGTCTGCCATTGGTGGAGGGGGACACCACGTCCAGACCTCCTCTCATACAAGTGTAAGTATGGTTTATTACCTCTGTATATAGAGATATTGTCCATATGTCCATAGTTATTTGAATATAGTAGAGTCACAGCAAGTTAGGGCAAAAATGGTGAAATGGCAGACTGACAGAAAGGTCAAATAAGAGGACAAAATGGTTTCCCCACATGTTGGTAAAAAGTGAGGTCTGATTGGATAAAGGCATAAAGTTTCCACAATAACCAACAATATAATTCCAAAAAGATTAGGTATTTACAAATCTACATAAATCCAAAAAGTATAAAGCATCATTGGACCTAGCTGTGAACATATATCAGCAAAAAATATGTCAGACTATATGTAGATTCACTGATTACACACGTTAATAAGGAGTTAAGAATAGATGTGCCTGAAGTGATCTATGATTGCCTCCTAATGAGGTAGGCCCGCAAGTCACTAAAAGTTAATTGCAACACGTGTTGAACCATGTGTATCGCGTTGAACTATTCTTAGTTACTTGTTACAAGAATAGCAGTGATTGTGGATGAATGATTGTGACAGTTTCTCAGTGGAGACTGTTACATGTGTTGTATATTGATGAGGCTACTAGAATGACGGACCACACTCCACCACGGCTTGGGCAAGACTGATCCAGAGACACGAGGTCCCTGTCCTTTATTGGTCTTAATTGACACCAGATGTAGCCAGAAATAGCCACAGCATAGAGGTTATTAACTCAACATCTTCCACATGTACCATGGGCACAGGAATCAGCATAGCAATGCAATATTTATTTAGGTACAAGTCTAAGTGTGCTTGTTGCCTCTATATACAGATGTTTTGTTTTTTTATGTGTTTGTTTGTTTGCTTTTGTATCTGCAATTATAAACTGAATACAGTAAAGTCACAGGAAATAAGGGGGGAAATGGTTTAACTGCAGACTGACAGGAAGGTCAAACTGGCAGTCAAAATGGTACGTCTCCATGTAGACTGGGAGAAATCATCACGGATGCAAGAGAGGACGTTAGGTCAAAGTCCTAACCACAACCTAAACACCAGGCCATCAATGCCACTTTCAGTGTATGGTTGTGTTTCTCCAGTCCAGGGATAACTGCTGGTTTCTCCCTGTTGCTTGGCATCCTGGACTTCTTGGGACAACTGCCGAAAAACATCACCAAGGTAACAATCTTCCTATCTCCATATCACATCAAGGAGGTTAACCTCCTTGATCACATCAAGTATATTTTTAAAAAGCCTGTCAGAAATAGTGTGCTGTCCATGTTGCTGAAGTGTTACCGAGAAGAACTGACCTGTCAGAAACAGTGTGCTGTCCATTGTTTTGACATATATCTGTAAGGGAAGAACAATTCTGTCAGAACTAATGTGCTGTCCATGGTACTGAAGTGTCAGTAAGAGAAGATCTAGCCTGTCAGAAACAGTGTACTGTCCATGGTACTGAAGTGTCAGTAAGGGAAGAACTATTTTGTCAGACCTGATGCGCTGTCCATGGTACTGAAGTGTTAATAAGGGAAGAATTAGCCTGTCAGAAACAGTGTACTGCCCATGGTCTTGATATACATGTATCTGTCAGGGTACATTGTCATCATCATCTGATTAAAAGAGCTGAACACACCTGGGTTTGAAAATTATTTTTGGTGCACAGAAAAAATTACAAAATTACAAACCTTATCTTAAATTCTATAGCTTACTTAAAAAATTGTAACATAGTACAACAAAAGTTTCATTATAATTGTACAAGTGCTCAGAAATATATATGTACCCAGTATTTTGATCACTCAACATCTGTAAATCATGAGATTAAAGCTTTAAGGGGGCACACCCCAGTTTATTTGGGGCCTCTTTTCGAAGCTGCACACCCTCAAATCTAGCGACCGTCTCTGGCGTGGAATAATTCGGAAGGAGAATAACTGTATATGGGACGAAAGGGTATCTCTTCAGCTACAAGACAAGCTGAGTTTGGTTTCTTCAACCTTTTTAAGTTTGGTAAAATCAACGGAAAAAACATTATTTTCACTCCAAAATTAATGCCCAAAATTGCAAATTTTCGCGTAGGATAATCCCACAAAAAAAAATTTTCCGGCAAAAATGACTGATGCTGGCAGAAAGACCCAAGCCTTGACTATACCCGAGTAAATTATAAAGAAAATTCTAGTACTGTAATTTTCTAAACAGTCCACGGCGCGAGGGGTTGCAAATCCACCCCTACGAAGCCACAGAGCGAAAACTAGGTCAAACGGGCGGATTACACTTGGCGCGCAAGGATACCCGGAAGTAAGGTTCGGAGCCAAAAGAAATTTTCACCCCAAAATCACCATTTCTTACACTCTTCAGCCATGTTAATGTTTAATGATACTTCGTGGCAGTTTATAAGAAATGTCACCTCAAACTTGGACCCTCAAAACCCTTTCGTCACTTTTTTACAACGGACTATCACGGACCCCGGTCGCGCAAGAACTGGGGTGTGCACCGTTAAATCAGTATTTTTTTTTCAGTAGTAGTGATCTATCAGTGAAAAGGTTACGAAGCAAATTGGGTGGAACCGTTCTCATTCTGTTGTTGACAGATGAGAAAGGTAGAGGTGAACTACCAGTAGAGGTTACTGGTAGTTCAGGAAAAGTCCCTCTGATCCAACCCCTGATGGAGTGCCTCTCTCTCACATACCAGACTCTCCAGCTCACAAACAGGAAGTGTGAGCTAAAGGCCACTTCCACTTCAACGTACCTGGCATCAGTATGCAGTAGTCTGTTTTGTATCTCTGTCTCCTTTCCATCCTGTTAAACCATTCCATCTTTAAAAAAAAAGGTTGGATAGCAATAGGCTATACCCTCAAATTTGTAGCATTGCCATACATACTCAATGCTGTTATTTATATCAGTTAGACTGATCACAAAGCAGTCTGGGTAAGGGTTTCAAGACTGTTGTCTCTGATTACATTGTTTCATATGTGTGTGGTGTCTCACCTCTAGAGTTCACCTAAGTTCCTGGAGCTCTATAACTACCTGTGCCACGCTGCCCCCTTTGGGTCACCTCTGGACGTTGACCCCTCCACTGTGACCTCAGTGTTGCTGGACAGACCTAACCCTGTGCCCAAGGTCAAGGTAAGGTCACTAGAGAAGGAGGTAAAGACTCAAAATTTACCACATCTTTGTACCAGAAATGCCAGTAGATGTTCTGTTGTAGCTTCAAGCAAGCATTGATGGCTAAATGGAACATACTTTAAAGCACTTCTAACATTTTGCTACTGATGACTGTTATCCTAGCAACCTGCCTGGAAGCCGAAGCTCTTCAAGGGAAAGCCTCAAATCTATTTTGCTATCACAGAACACATCAAGGCAGTGCAGGTAAGAGTACATGTAACATGGGACAGCCTGTCCCATTCTACTGTAACTGATTTTGCTAACTGTTTATAATAACACTGTAAATTCATTTATGTTTAGGGGATTTAATTTTGCAGTAGGAGTAGAAACACCACTCTAATAACATTGTAACACTCCATGGTTTTATATTGGTAGAGGCACAGCAAAAAAAAAGATAAAGCCCCCATCATCATTTCAAGATCTACAGTATGCAGTATCATATTGTCTTAATTTTCAACAGTGTCAATCTTTAGTATTACAAGAAACTGTATATAGTACAGGCTAGATCCTGTTGAAATTAAGACCATCAACTCAGTCTTCTTCTCACATATTTTTTGGTCTTCATTTATAAAATATGAATGTAGTATAGATGAATTTATGAAATATTACTGTGAAGACAGTTCAAATAGACGTAGCAAGGATTTTAAAAGATGTGTCCAAAGGCACATTTCTGTTGAAACACACTTCCATATTTGATCAAACATCCTTCTCAAAGCCCATTCACAAACATGGTCTCCTGCAGTCCTGGTAATTTGGCATCCTGGTGAGTGGGCGATGATCCTGATGTTATTTCCTGTCAACAGCACCTGCATCAAGTCATTAGATTTTTGGCAACACCTCAATGACATGCCGTGGAAGTTCTGTGAAAGTAATTTATATGTTGAAAGTACTCCCATGTTGAAAGTATTCCCATGTTTTTGGCGTAATGTTAAACAATAGTACAGTCCTCTGTTTGAAATGTGAGAGTTTTTTCTCGATCTCCCTGTCACAGTATGACAAGAAGGGCCAGCCAGATGCGTACATGGTGTATGGCACAGTCACATGCAAGGTAAGCATTTATCCCAGCTCATGTGATTTCACAGATCATTAGTACCTCAATTGTCAATATATAGTGGAAAGGGTACAGAACCAAGCTGGCACATTCTGTATGAACGACTACAATATGGGGGTTACTAAGTGTTGCCAAAATGAAACTAAACCTACAAATTCATGTAGTAAATAGTTTTATGAGTTGACTCAAACAAAGATTTGTGGCAACATGCCCCAAACAAAACACACTTGAAGGGGTGAATTCTGATCTATTGTACATGTTGTGTATTACCTTTTTTTCTTGTTGTTTCTATCTACAGACAAAGCTGGAAATTAAGGAGTGATGCCCCACAGGATGGTGAATTTGTCTTTGCCTGCCCCACCCATGGAAAAGCCCCTGGCTAACACTGCGGCTTTTTGTTTAATTGTTTGTTGTTATTGTTTATCTACAGACAGAGCTGGAGGGAGTAATGCCCGACGTGACTGTAAACCTATCGTTGCCAGCCCCGCCCCTGGGGAAGCCCCTGGAAAACATCCTGGTGCACCCCTGTGTGCAGAGCACTGACACACAGGTTAGTACTGTTCCAACACAGCCAAGTGTACAGCATCATGGATTACTGATGCTACATGACGTAAAATTAACCTTTTTTTTATGTGGCGGGTACTCTGCAGAATTGGATAGGATGGGAGTTGGCATGACAATAATTATTTGCTTTAGTCTCTTTGCGATCACAGGAAAGGAAATTTCCATTTTTTTTGTCATTGTTGTTTTCTTCCATAACATACAAAGTATAAACATGGGCATGCTTCTGTCCATCCTGCAGACTCTAAACAACTGTGCAAGCTCGTCAAACCACCAAACAGCGACCATGGGCCCGTACAAGCTGCGCTTCACCCCTCCCCTGCACATGATCACCCTGTGCCACTACACCTCACAGGTCCGCGAGCTACCCATCAGGGGGTACTACCAGATGAGGGTAAGAAAGGATTTAATGTTTTTTTTTGTTTGCTTGTTCAAATCCCAGGCAGGCCCCAGCGTTGTGCCTGAGAGAAAGGTACTTTACGCTCTACACTTTTTTACCTCCTTTGACTCGGGTGAAAATGAGTATGTAGCTTTGGTTAGAGATGTTTACCTGGATTGAATTTAAAGCTGGAGTCCTTCTGTTTAAGAAGAGCCAGACCTCGTCACCTCGGGCATGTTAAAGAACCCATGGCCACTACACTTTCAAAAAGAGTAGGGGTCCATCCCAATGACAGTAGTTCAAACCTTCATGGTTTAGCAGCATAACACAAGGATCAATTGATGTGCAATTAGGTCTTGGCCTATCAAAGAAATTTTTAAATTATCTTTCTTTTTGCTGCAGGGAGATGGGAATAAGGTGAAGCTGCTAGTGCAACTGAAGCTTGGCTCCAAGGTCAAGAACCACTTTGACTTCTGTGAACTGCAGATCCCGTTCTACAACAGGTAAGAAGAGTCGAGAAGGACCTTATTTCTTCCTTAAGATCTATTTTTTATCAGACTTGATGTTGTAAGTCTGACATTACTTTATTAATACTTCTATGAAAAATGCTCTGATAGGCCCCCTAGGACATGACTCACTCAATCACTCTTTAAGTCATCCTCTTGCAGGGTACATGTACTTCAGATGGTAAAATCCACAAACAGTTATGTACCCATGACAAATTTAGATAAAGACTAGTGCAAGTTAGATGCAGGTAGACATCTGAAATATGCTTTAGCCTGCATATGCTGGTGGATTTTTTTCATCCCTGATGTCAGAAACCTTATGTGTTTTCCAGGGGTCCGATCCAGACCCACAAGACGACTCCCTCCGTGGGCTCCACAGTTCTGTCTGTGGACAGAAGAATTCTGGCATGGAACATTGGTATGTTTGTTACCTCCGTTTGTGTGTTTTGCTTCTGTAATATACATTGTATGCTAGGCATGTTGGGGGGCACAGACAGGAAGTTAAGTCATCAAAGGTCCCAGAAAGATCCAAGAAAAAGTTTTCTCATTCCTAGTCTTCAATTTCATGCTATTGCATGCATGTTAGCTATGCATGTTTGTTCCCTAATGGGAGACAGTGGAAAAATGCAGACAGAAGTAGCTACAGTAATGAACGAAACAAGAAAATATAGATGTGCTCCCTTACAGGAGACTTGTACACCTACATGTAGAACTTGTAACGAAAAATTCTGATGTTCTCATCACTCCCTTGTGACCTGTAGGTCAGAAGTTCCCCACCAGATCCCTGGAGGTCCAGCTGAATGCCACCGTGACCTTTGCAGAGAACATGGCCACCCCGCCCCACAGCCTGCTGGGAGAGGACCCCTTCTGCACAGGCCTCAACTCTTACGCTCAGGTACGCTTCAGGACATCCATAAGCTATCATAGACCCATTGTCTAGAACAGTCTACCATCCAACACACATACGGACCCAACTCTGTCCTCTTTTGAGAAACTTTTGCAAGAACTGAAACAACCCAAATGAACAGATACAGACTATGTGCCAAGTTTTATTTTTCCATGTATGTGTTTTTTGCATGTGTAAGGATATATGTTTATGAATTAATTATGACAGTATGTTTATAAATTTATCAGGTAACCTGTATCTTGTTATATTTTATCTGACCATGACCTCTTTCCTTATGAATGTGTGATTGCCTTGATGTTGCAGCTGTACTTCAGAGTGAGTGACTACACCCAGAGCGGCTGTTACATCGACCAGCGCTCCATCCAGGTCTACCCCAACACCAAGCACAAGTCCATCATCAGTAAGCGAAATACACATTCTTACAGAATGATACAAAACTGGACAATAATACATTATTATAGAACGGAATAATTCAGAACGTCATCTTTAATCTTACATAATACAAAATAAATAAAGCAACTGGATAGATTCAGAAGTTTCAGATGGCATCCACTATTTTTCATCAGTAACTGTTGTTTAATTCATTTTCTATTATGTATTGGTCTACCTGGATGTATAACATTCATTGACATTATTCTGAACTAATTTTGTCATCGATATTATGAAGGGATTTTTCCCTGAAAGTAGGCCCATCATCAGTAGTACAAATCTGATGCCAAATGACTACCTCAACATAGACAT